TTCCAGTAAAGCCAATCGACAGCTGGTCAAGAGGAATCCGTCATCGTCTTCTGGTGGAACCGACCTTCGAGGCTCTTCACCCAACACTTTCACTCGAAATGGAAGTAACCTCAACAAGGCTACACTACTCGGGAACTTTATGCTTACAAGACAGTACTCCAAACTTTTATCGAGATTCATTTCCCCAAATAAATTTATTAACATGGTTTTGTTACAAACACTAAATGCACACAGTTAATTATTAACTTTTCAAACGGCAAGCAACTATAGGTTATTAAAATAAAGGCGGTTATTTGACAGTACATAAGTAAATAAGATGGTGATGCCATTTTTTGGATACCAATTAAGTTACCCGCACAAATTTTGCCTTTCAACTTTAAATGTTCTTCGTACTTCGGCATCCGCCAATATATTCATATATTCTCAATACAATTATAAGACGCTTCGCCAGCATCAAAACTGCCATCCATGTGGTGGTGATTACCTCAAACAAAATATGTATATATTGAATAACACTGGATTTATGAAGCCTATCCCCTCTAGCTGAATATTTAGCTAAATGGTATCCTCACATTTTGTCGGTCAAATTACAATGCAGCCTGAAAGCCAACAGAAGGGTTAAGTTAGGCTTAAAGCATAATATTTACCATTGACTGACTTTGTTAGATATCGTTTAATCGGGATACTGAAGAACTAGTTAATTGCACCATGGCCGAGTTCGGCCCGTGACTGATGTTGGCGCGATTCGGCTTCTTTAGTCAGCCGGGCTATTGATCCAGCTAAAAAATACTTTGATTCCGATCTTCTTAACGAACTCAGGCTAGCTGGTAGTTGGTAGATTTCATCCGGTTCTTTTGAAATATAGGTAAAATCACTCTGGTCGTCTTCTGTTTGAGACTCTTGCTTTATGCCATCGGTCTCCACATCAACGTGACCAGAATCGAGGACTACATCGCTTTTGTTTGACTTATCGAATCTACTCATTGAGGAAGTAGTCGTTTGTCTGGAAAATGATGGTCGCTTTAACCCAGTCCAACCGAAGCATTGATGCTCTATCACAGCTGGCTCCAAATATCTGGAGTTGGTCAGACTGGTGAACCAGAGACCGATGAGATAATTTCGCTCTGACAGTGCGACTAAGTCGAAGTCGGAGTCTTCTGTGCCAAATGGATTGACCAAGGCTTGCGCTATTTTAAGCCAGCCGTCGTAGAAGACGAGCTCAAGCAGCGTAAATATAGGCAAATATAAGTCGATTGAGGGGTCTTGAATCTGATGCGTCCATGAGGTGCTTGAGCGATTTGGCCGGGATGATAGGAAATCGACTGACCTTTTGAACATCTCATTGGTAGTTGTCAAATCGGAGACTTCCTGGTCC